CTTTTTGGGGGGTGTAGTAAAGAACAAGGTTTATGAAAGAAATCCCTAAATAGTGGGAGAATTAAAAGAGTACATCTCGGAAATATTTATTGAAATTAATACAGATTGGGATTTGTGTTGTGATGTGTGGTCATCGTGTACTGGAGAGGTTCAAGGAATGTTGCAATGTTGAGAAATGACATTTTGAGCACTTTAGAGATTAAACTGAGCTAAAAAAGCAAATGTTAAACAAATATACATAATCAGTTTTGAACAAATTTGATTTTAATGGGGTGATTCTTGCAGTGTGTCTTACTGATGATGGTGCGAGGTAATGCCTTCTCCATCATTATGGCTTGCAGAGGATAGTAAAGAAAAAAAGATTTTGTTTTTTATTTATAGATACTTTGTTCAAATTCAACTGGTTTTAACAAATAAATATAAATGTATAATATAAAATATTTAAAAAAAATATATATAAAGTACCTACCTAGTAAGTGTAAGCCTACTTTTAGTCCACTCTGTATGTATGTATTGTTACGTTTTTTTGGGGTATATAATACGTGTAACTAGTGAGTGAGTCAGAATGACTTATTTCCTTTTATAGTCGACCAATAGAAGGTTGACCAATCAGAAGCCGCCCAACACTGTATTCGTCGTGTATAAAGGCGGCCATCTTGTTTCCTCTACCGGAAGGACCAAAGTCGACCAGGAGAAGGATGAACTACACTCTGCTGTGATATCCACTGCGAACCTGCACTACGCTTTCTTACTGTCTCCGAAATATTCACTGCCAACCTCTGGATTCTATACTCGAGGACGACCGTCATGAAAATGTCTAACATGTATATATATATATATATATATATACAGGTAATTTTTTTTTTGAGGTTAATAATTATGCATTTTCAGTGACACAGGTAACATTTTTCAGGAGGGGGTTAAAATTCATGCAAAAAAATTTAAAGGCCATACTATACATGAAGCTGGCCTACACATATACAGTAAACAACCAATAATTTACAAATCCTAACATCAAAAAGAAATTATTATTGAATAGAAAAAAGAAAAAAGTGAATGAAGTTGGATTGGTTTATTGCTAGCTTCACTTAAAACATCTTAAAGTAGCCCATCACTGAACTGTTCTTTGTTGATAAATAAAGTAGAGCTGTTTGGATTTCAATAGAATATCTGACAAAATTGGTAAGAGATTCAGTTGGCACCAGAAAAATCTATTTGCAAAAGAATGATAGTTTTATGAGGTCTGTCCAGAAATTAGTCAGTCATTTGATAATTAGAGAGAGAGAGAGAGAGAGAGAAAAAAGAAAACTCAGCCTACCTAGGGCAATGGCACTTTAGTCATTAACAGATTATTATTTCTCCTGGTTGAAACCTTAGGCATTTATCGTAGTCTCCCTTCCACTTTCCAAAAAAAAAATTTACCAGTGAATAGAAGTTACAGTAATAAAATCACACAAGGCATTATTGATTGGAACTTAAGAAAACAATAAAAAAAAAAAGAAGAGTTAGAATCAACTAAAGAAAAATAATAAACAATGCTGACAAAGCCTATTTCAAGACCAAGTTGAAGCAAGATGATAACTTATTAGACAAAAGTATCTGAGTGTCGCACATGAAAGACTTGAACAAATAAGACTGCAATCTAAGAAACACAGGAGTAAAGGAACTGATTAATTAAATAGTTCATTTTTCTTAGGAATTATTTTGTGTAAATGCAGAAAAATATTTTATTCATCTAAATTATTAAATAACTAAGGGAAGGATTCATACAAATTTACTAATTCAAGTTGTTTACCTCCCTTTCCACTACAGATGGGACAGAAAATATATACCATATTTTCTGGCTTACAAGATGCACTTTTTCCCTAAACAATACCCTGAAAAATATGTGCGCATCTTTCAAGACGAATGTAAGGCAACATCCAGGCTCAAGTAAGCTTGGATGGTCACCTAATTGGCCTGACGTGGATTTGTATGGTGAGTCATTACACTATAATGTTAGTTATCTAATTCAGCCTTTTATATGATATAACCTTAGTACTTAGCTGTTACAAGTATTTCCAAGACTATAAACCTTCCTGAATCTGAGCCACAAGCTTAAACATGTTCTGTTTACCAGCAGCAGTGGGAATCTTTCTGCTCTTGACTAGTATGCCATTGACATACAAACAAAATCGGACGAGTGATTAATGTAAACAATACATGGCACCAGTATGTGAGAGACGCATGGTGAATGCGTTGTTGTATGAGAATGACTTTTTTTTTCTTAGAAATTTCTTCCCAATATTAGGAAGTGTCTTCCAACCCACTGTATCTTGTAAGCCAGAAATTTTTATGAGGTCTGTCCAGAAATTAACCAGTGATTTGATATTCAGAGAGAGGAAAAAAAATAGCCTACTTAGGGAAATGGCAACTTTGTTACCTTCAGCGTATTATTCACATTAGTTGGTACCATAGATTATCTTCCATTTTCCAAAATAGTCTACAAATAAATCTTTTAAGATCACCATCAGCAGTCTTATTGCATTCTCCTTAATCTCAACCATTCTGAAATAATCTCCTTTTCAATGGTGATATGAGCTTTTAGAAAAGACAGAAGTCATAGGGTGGCAGTTGATATGGGAAGTCACAAACATGGGTAAAAACATGCCAAAAAACATGCCCAAGATACAAACAATGGGCAGTCCAGATATTAAAAATGTCCGGATACTTTTCCTTCCACACTGCACATCTGTGTGGATCACCTTTTATTCAGGTTTTTGATCACGTATGAAAATTAGCAATAGTTTTAAAAGCTTTACCGAAATTGCAAATGGCCATTCTGACCAGGCAGGCAAGACATCGTGGCCTCTTAGCCATGGCACGGTTAGAATTCATTAGCCTATTTCACCCTCCCCCCACCAACTCAACACAACTGTACTACATTTCAATTTTCATAAGGTAGTATTCATATAAAATACAAATTTTATTGTAACCTAATAATGTACAATAATAGATCATATGCAATATCGATGAACAATTAAAATAGAAAAACTGAAAATAAATACAATGTATCTAAATACAAATTAGAGACCTGTCATAATAGATCATTCCATTTTAAATAAATCAACAATATTTGGCAGCAATTTTTAGCAGCAACTTAAGATTGTCCTTGTAAAAAAGTTGAAGAATTTAACACATTCAACATTATTGTTAAAAATAGTGAATTTCATATAGTGTTTTTTTTTCAAAACAGTAAGAGCAAAACAAATTCACGAATTGGATAAAAAAAAAAGCTCCCAGAATAATGTCAAAATCAGCTAGAATTTCTCAGCATTTGATAGATGGTAATGCTGAGTTTAATTTTTATATAAATGGAGGTAGAAAAAACAAATGGTGATAAGATAGTGAGGGTCACAAAGCACTGCCCCGGGTACCCAAACAGGAACTCCCACACTGCTCGAGGGGTTCTGAGGTAGTACAGGCCAGCCCTGGCATAGCTTTATATATATATATATATATAATTTCTCCCAAAATTAAAGAAACTATACAAAGTTTAGAACAGCTCATGATCAAATATAATAGACATTCGTTGTATGCTATATTTCCATAATATATATTTGAATAATGCATACATACATTATATATATATATATATATATATATATATATATATATATATATTGTAATTTAACAACAACTCTTATTAGAAGCTTATGAAGCTTTATCTCACTCATTTAGTGGCAAAAAATGTTTATTTTATTCTAATGAAGGGTTACAAGTGAGAGGGGAAATGGAATGTGTTTTTATTTTATTACCACACATACATACACATATATGTGTGTGTGTGTGTGGTAATGTAGATATGTGTGTGTGTGTGGTAATGTAGATATGTGTGTGTGTGTGGTAATGTAGATATGTGTGTGTGTGTGTGGTAATGTAGATATGTGTGTGTGTGTGTGGTAATGTAGATATGTGTGTGTGTGTGTGGTAATGTAGATATGTGTGTGTATGTGGTAATATATCTCCCAAATCTACGATACAGCACCCTCCATTCTAGCACATCTAAATTTTCATTAGGTAATATTCATATAAAATACAAATTTTATTGTAACCCAATTATGTACAATAATGGATCATATGCAATATAGGTGAACAATTCAACTAGAAAAATTGAAAATAAATACAATCTATTTAAATACAAATTAGAGACCTGTCATAATTATATCATTCCATCTTAAATAAATCAATAATGTTTTGCGGCCATTTTTAACATCAACCTGAGATTTTTCTTGTTAAAAAGTTGAAGAATTTGAACGCATTCAACATTATGTATAAAAAATAGTGAATTTTATACATCTGTTTTTGTTTAGGCTAAGCATGAGCAAAACAAATTCAAAGATTTTGAAGAAAAATAAAACTTCAGAATTACTTTTTCCTCCTTTAATACTCAGTTGCGCTTAGTTTAATTTTTAATGTATATAAATGTAGGCAGAAAAAAGGAAATGTTGATAAGATAGCAAGGGTGACAAAGTACTGGTCAAGAAGTTTGGGGTTAGTAAGCACCAGCACTGAAATTTCAAACCATATAATATTTTTGGTGTAGAGGTCCTCATTTATATCGTTACAGCCATTTAATATAGTTTTCTATGTCAAATATAAACAAGAGCTGATTGGGAAAAAAAATCTGGTCAATGCAGTAACTTTTAAATGACAATTTTTTGTCTGTTAATATCACTTGGTTATCTGAGGTGCATTAACATAAAAAAAATCATTTTTTTTTAAATTTATATCTATTTTGATATTTAGATTTTGTAAGCACAATTCAACAGGCGAGTGTCTCCCCTGCTGGCCAACAACAAGGTCAGCAACAGCAGCAACAACAACAACAACCCCCACCCCCACATACAGTAACGATGACAACTACAGCACCACCTGCAGCACCTACGACAACACAGCATGGAGAAAGTGGTCCCATTAGGGCAACAGCCCCTATGTGGCGATGTAGTAAGATTATGCATATGCAAAGGGAGATACATCCTACGATCCTCTCTTCTTTGGAAGGCATTGTCGACCAGGTAAGGATGCTTAGTTTTCTCTCTCATTTATGCCCACTACTTCTGTTACTTTATTTCATTATCTCACCTGGAAATTTCAAACCATATAATATTTTTGTTGTCATTTCTTTTTGGTGTTCTTATAGTTTTTGCAAAGTTTTTCTTTGGATATGCAGGGGTTATTTTCTATGAGGGCATCATAAATCACAATGCCTGCTCCAAAGAAAAGCCAAATGATATTTTCTCAATAATTATTGTATATGTTTTGATTCTTTGACTTCAGATGGTATGGTTCCGTGAAAATTGGTATGAGGAGGTTTTACGACAATTACATCAGGGATTAGCAAAGTGTAATGCGGTTGCGTTTGAAAATCGTGGAGCAGGTAAGTACTGATAAACCAAACTGGAGACATTTTTTTCTCAAAATACTTTTTATTTTATTTTGGTTGAAATGCAACCCTGTTGTGTAGTCACCAAATTGTTTGTGCATGAAGCCTTTTTATACTTGTTTATTGTCTATGTGTTATGGTCCAGGTTAGGACCAAGGAAGAAAAACACGAACACACGAGTAGAAATAACGAAGGTATATTACACGAAATAATAATACAAGATGTGGAAGGTGTTAGTATGACTGTCAGTCTGGTTTGGAATGAACTACTATCGGCTCGACTTGATTCGTCCCTCTTTCTTGAGAGGCATAGTATACATAGTGTTAGGAAGAGTTCGTTCTGTAGTTATAGGTAAGGACACTATGGATATAACTCTTAAAAGATTAACAAGAAATTGAATGAATTGTAACATCCCAAGAGATGTCTAATGACATACAAGTAAATTATCCATGTCATAGTCTTTCCTCTGAAAGATTAAAATATCAAAATGTATGAGTTTTAATTCAGTCATGTTTATAAGATTTTTTAAATAATATTAGTTCTTTGCAAGAATATAACAAACAACAAATGATTGTGTTTTACACTGGCTTTTTAACAGTGGATGCTAAAAGCAAATAGTTTCTAAATACTGACATACATGATGGGATGGTTGGCAAACATAGACCTTTGTCCCCACAAAGAAAAGGAGTGTCAAAAAATGATTTTTCCATTAAGACTGCTATTATTTTAATTACCTTCATTATTTGACAATGTTTATTGTTTTAAAAAGTGATGATTAGAATTGTAATAAAACCTATATAAAAGATATAATGAAATGAAATTTATACATTTTATGTGTTTTTGAGAATTGGAAACAAAAACATTATTATGTTGTTTATTTACATTATTTATTATGTTGTTTATTTACATTACTTATTATGTTGTTTATTTACACTATTTTTAGTTTTACGAGTGTTTATTGGAATGGCTTGCAAAACATTGGCTAATTGCCAAGTGATTTGAACTTTATAAAATGGTGAATTTTTCATATTTATTTCATTATAAATTGGTTAATTATAAATATTGCATTAGTTCTAATCGGATTGGCTTTTACAATTTTGTAAATATAAAATTATTGTTGCAAATAAACAATCTCATAAATAGTGTTTAATATTTTTGTAGTTAATTCTCAAGAACTAAAAAATGTATAAATTCACTTTCATCATATATTCAGGTTTTATTCCAATTCTAATCAATTGATTTTTAAAACAAACATTACTGAGGAGTGAAGGTAGTTAAAATGATAGCGGTGTTAAGGGAAAAACCTTGCTTTTGATATACTATGTTTGCAGAATGGTCTTGTGAAATAAGGAAAAAAAATGACGAAGCAAAAGCTGAAGTTTGAAAAATAAAACAAATTGATGGAAAGTGAGCTGAAGATTCTAACTGGAAATTAAACTAAAGTTTCTGAATGACTCAATATTTTGTTTTTTTGTCATGATTAATTAGGAAAACATCAGGCTTGGATTTTTTTTTTCTTTTTCATGGTTTTATTGATTGCACAAATGAAGGTATACAGTAATGAAAACAAAATGTGTGCATAAAACTTATTGATGTGATTAAACAAAACATATCAATATTAAACATACCAATCCCTTAAATATTCAAACTGTTTTCCCACCCCCATCATTCAAAGACTTCTCATTACTTGCAAAACAATTATAAAAATGAAAAATATTAAAAATGCTTTTAATGAATTAAATGAATTCTAGAACCATTATTATAATTCTGCCAGACAAACACAAATAGGGAGACAGGATGACGATCCTGATGTAAGCGGGAACCAACAAGTGTACAACAACCCAAAAGCCAAAAAATAGAGAGTGGGGGTGCAAAAGTAGGTATACAGTAATGAAAAATAAAAAGGTATGAATTAAAAGAATATTTTTCCCTTCTAAATATCTTTTGCCAAATCATGATCATATTACACAGGGATGTGCAAAAGTAGGTATACATTAATGGGAAAAAAAATGCACAAACAGAACGTATTGTACTGATTATATAAACATATCAATTCCTCAAAAGTTCAAACTTTTTGCCCCATCATTCAGACACTCCTCGTTATCTGCAAAATATTATTATTATTTATTAAATTATAAAAATTATAATAAATGTATTATAATAAAAATTATGAAAATAAAAATATTCAAAATAAATTTAATGAATTAAATGAATACTAGAACCACAATTATAACACTGGTAATATTGGTATAATACTTACTGTATACCTACTTTATTTCTATTTTTAGATGGATTTCTTTTGACCTTCACAAATAAAAGCCTAATTTCACTGATAATAGCTCAATTCCTAATCAATGTACAACATTGAATCAAGTCTGAAAATAATACAGATACAAATGTCTATTTTGCTCTTTGAAAAAAAAAACTAATGTCTTACACTACACATGTAAATTTTATAAGTATACATCTTTTTTTTTTTTTAAAGTTGTGTCTGAATTTCTGAGATAAGGACTTATCATTATTTACACTTCTTATATTTGGACTTCATTTTTGTTGTTGATATCACAACATTTTGGCCGTTGTGCACACCAGCATTCCTCAAGTGTATGTCTATCTGGGTAACCTCCAAGGAAATCTGAACTGAACCCTTTATTTAATATATGGGCATAGACTGTTCTTGTTCTGCTGCCCATGTCTAAAGATATCTTTCTCTCTGAATTTCTGGAATGAGTTTTACTGTCTATGTCTGTTTTTTTTTTTTAATCATTTCACTCCAAGTAAGGCAATAAAAGCCACTGAAATTCAAGGGGTTACTTAGTGTGAAAGAATATGATAAAAAGTAAAACATTATTAAGGATTGAGAACAGTAAAGGAATTAAGAAGACATAGATAACAATTGATATTGCATTTTAATTTTTGAAGATCAAAGTTGACTGGAAAGCAAGAGGCTGCAAAAGAGTTCCTCAAGTGAGAAATGCAAGAGGAGAAACTGTTAGCAGAGAACTTATGGTTACTTGCAGCCATTTCAACTAGAAAAATGAGACCTAACTACCAATCTAGTACAATGCTTAAATTTGTAAAGTCATAGTACCAAAGAGGAAATTTCACCAGAACAATTACCATGAAAGTATTTATAGAAAAGGCACAGGGAATATACATTATAGTAATGGGAAAGTGATTGAATTCTTCTTTGGAAATACTTTGAAATAAAGCAAAAAGACATTTCAAACATAATTATAGTTGAGTGGTTAGCACATTAGCATACTGATCATGAGACAGTTGTTTGAATCTTTCTATGGTTGGTGTGTTATAGAGATGACTTCTTGATAATATTGGCCTGGGGAGATGATCACAGTCGGTGGCACCATTGGGAATTGCCTCGATCTCATGTAAGTGAAACTTGGGTAGATAAAAATGTTTAGAAGTCATTGGTGATTGTACTAAACTGAAGTCTTAAGTCATTATGACTGAGGGTTAGAGTGCAGTGGCCTTGTTCAACTGATAATACAAGCTTATACACTCTCTCCAAGAATCCGTAACTAGAGTTGGCTAAGCATAATTGCAGTATAAACCACAGGTGGACTGAGTGTTGAAAAAAACCCAAAAAAACAACCCAAATAAAACACAAAGGTACTTAAATAAGCATCTGCAACAAGGACTAGATGGGCATGTGCAGCAAGGACTAGACGGGCATGTGCAGCAAGGACTAGACGGGCATGTGCAGCAAGGATTACATAGCCAACCTAGTGAAGAGGCATGGAAATGAGTAGTGAATTACATGTGTACTTTTGATAAAAAAAGCCGTCAAAATCTGCTGACTTTTCCAACAGAAATAAGAAAAGAAACTTGAATGGAATTCTTCCAGCAATTACAAGAAAACTGTTGCCTTGGGATGTCTGACTCGACATTTGCTGAGAGATTGAGAAAATAAAACAATTATTAGAATAAACTAACCTCTTTCCAAAATGACAAGTTTTCATTATTTACATTCAGACTATTGTCCACATCTTTATTGTTTTTATTATCACATTTTAGCTCTTGTACCATTCAGGTGTCTGTCAATTTGGGTAAACTTCAGGGAATACTGATTTAACACTTTATTTAATATAAGGGTGTAGAGTGTTCTCAATCTGTTATCCATTTCTAGGGATATCTTGTCTTGATCTTGTTTAGTATTGCTTGGTTATGGCTCACTTTGTTTTCATTGAGTCTGAGTCTACACTATTTAACCCAAGGGATTAAACATGGGAGGATAACCCAGTGGATTAAAGCAGAGGTTCATGACTCTGGCAGTATAGTAAATGTGGGTTCAATCCATAGGCCAAGCAGGACAAACTTAGACTCACTGGAAAAAGAGTGAGCAAAAACTGAGATTAAAAAAAAGATGAAATATCTCTTGAAATGGACAGTGGAATGAGAACAATCTATTCTGATAGATTAAATAAAGGGTTCAGTTTGATAATCCATAAGGGTTACCTGGATCAACAGATACCTGAAGATGACTAGAGGACAATGGCTGAAACAGTGTAATAATAATATTGATGAATATATTCATCTGAATACAAATAATGTAAATATGAAAGATGTAGTATATACATAGATGTGAATATTATTTTATAGTTTTATACACAAAACAAACATATACCTGAAGAAGTGCAGAGGACACAATGACCGAAACAGTATGATAATAAAGATGAGTATATTCGTCTGAATACAAATAATGGAAATATGAAAGATATAGTGTACATAGATGTGAATATTATTTTATAGTTCTATACACAAAACAAACATATACCTGAAGAAGCGCAGAGGACACAATGACCGAAACAGTGTGATAATAAAGATGAGTATATTCGTCTGAATACAAATAATGGAAATATGAAAGTCTAGTATACGTGGATAGGAATATTATTTTGTATTTATATGCACAAAACAAAACACCTGAAAAAGGTCAAAGGGTGCAACAGTTGAAACATGGTGATAAGAACATAGAT